AAGTGTAAGAACTGACTGTCCCCTGATCTTGATGATAAAGATGAAGAGGGGAATGTGTTGTTCAACGGTGTAGAGGACAGGGGAAAAGACAGGGGAGGACTGAGGTTCCATTTTTGATACCATTTTGCTTGAGTTCAAAGAAAGCAGGAACAAGAAGGCAAAGTTTACAAGAAAACTTGCCCGAATGTGCTCAACTCTAATGTAAAACATAAAAATAATGAGACTAGGGTTAAAGAAACAAAGAAAATACTGATAACCTATACTTGTACTGCGGAGATTTGAAGCTACTTTTCAGTGACACTAGGAGTTTAATGGGCAAAGAGTAAAAGGATTTAGCGTAGCATTTTAAAAATGTCAGGTGTTAAATGCTAAGCCCACTGAAATCAGTGGAAGTCTGATGTGCACAGAACTGCAAAGGTCAGGTTATACAGAGCTTTTTAAAAAGCTGGAATCAGCAGGGGGGATTGTTTTTAATGGGGAGTAACCACTTTTAGGTTCACAATCAGATTCTAGAAAGTATATATCCCTTTTTAATGTGATTCCTTTTCGCAAAATCAGTTAACAGTGAAATTAAGACAATAATTGGTTTTACATCTCTGTGAAGAGTAAGCAGTTGCAAATAATTTCACTGCGCCGGAGAGGACCTACATGTGTAGAGACGAGGGAGAAATAACTGAGTTGTTTGATAGCTGTGTTTGCTCTCTTCTTGAAGTTTCTGTGATACACACTTTTTAAATTTAACTTTCTACAGAAAGGTAAATGGCATTTCTGTAATAGGAAATTTTACCTATACAATAAATCCTTATGGGACACATATATACTTAGTACTAAGCAAGATTCCTGAAACAAATATTGAGAGTATATGTAAATTATTATTATTTTTTTTTTTGGGGGGGGGGTATGTATTACCCCCAAAAACCCAACTCGTTGAAGATCTCCTTCAAAAAAACACATCTAGAAATTTCAGAAAGATGCTGTATATTTTGGTATTAACAAGGATGGAGTCTGCAGTAACAGGATCACGGAACATGATGAGGAAAGGAAGAGAAAAAATTACACTTTATTAAGAATTTTCTCTTCCTGATTTCTAAAAGTCTTAAGCCTCTAAGACAGCTGTAAGGAAAAATCACACTGGTGACAGAGGATGAATTTTGTTCTAAAGAGCCATAATTTGCCAGCATGCTGCATGGGGCAGTGTGGCCATTGGGTGAAGTGCCATTGTAGTTGTAGTTTTCATATGTCTATTTGGAGAAGAAAAAGAAATGAAGCAGGTTGACTGTTGACAGCCTTTCTGGTACCAAACATACAGGATGTTTGTTACAGCTCTGATTTCACTTTAAGAAACTGACAAAACCATGCTTTTTTTGAGGCTGTTGAAAGAACTTACTGAAAAGTATTGAGCAGACTTTTGGGGAGCACCACTCATCGCTTACATCATCCAATAGCTTTTATGGAATGGTTTATTTCACCAGAACATTGCCGAGGTTTTGGGGCCTCTTATACCACTAAGTTGTCTGATATGGACTCAATCCAAGGCATATTTGAAGGGGAACTGTGTATCTTTAAAAACTGACCCACGCTTTTGAATGCTTAAAGTACTGTTTTCCTGCCTTTTTACATTATTTAAGTGAGCCAAATCCAAATTGCTTGGAGTTTCTTAGAAGACATAAATCTCAACAAATGGTAGGGGATTTTTTTTTATCATGCCTGTGCTTCTCCAATTTCATCCAATGTTGATTATCCGAGGGGAAAAAAATTTTCAAACATGCATAACTCTCCTAAAGATAATAAATATGTTTTGTCATTGCGATAATTTTTCTTTCTTCAGCAATCCGGGGACAGTTGGAGTTCTGATTTTGTAAACAGCTATACTTAGATATTTTACTGACTGGAGTATTCTAATTATTTCCTTCCTTCTTTCTTTCTTTCTTGCTGGTATTGTTGTTTATTTTTTATTTGCTATGATTATATTCTTTTCTTTGTGATAACCCATGTTAAGATTACAAGAAGATTAGGACTCCCTGTGACTAGACTTCATCAAGTCATATACAAGATAAAGTCTGTTTCTACAGTAACAAAGTTACCCTTGATAGAGCAGAAAATTAGGGTGAATTACTGAGAACAAAGACAGCATTTGGAGTATTACATGGATGTCTGTTATAACCTGTAACTTGTTGGTTTTGTAATATAAAACTAGAAGGCACTTTTTCAAACATGAGGGATGCCTGTTTCAAACTGGGAGATTTGCGCACGTTTACCCTGTAGAACTTTGTGTTAGAAGATTATTAGTTTAAGAAGTTTATTGGGTGCATTGTATGACATACAGTCACTGTGAACCACAGGTTTCGTATTAATGGAGTGACTCAGTTCCCGTGCAAGAAACTCCTCAGTAATCGATTTATTTCAATCATGTTGTGCTCAGTGTGAGTTATACACTGTTCCTTTTAATTGTATAAAATAGATTTTGTCTTTAAATAGTGTCATTAACGACTCATAGGTAAGAAATTCAGTGAATTTCTAAGGTCTTTTTAGCAGCTCACAGAATGACATAGACAGACTCAGATTTGGGTAAAAGCTTCACTTCAAAATACTTTATTGTAGAAAGCAAGAATGCAAATAAGACAAAGTTCTTTGGAGCCCTTCAGCTTTAAGGGGAGTTTTACTCTGGAAGGAATCATTTTGCTGTCTGGTGCTCATCTCCATGACACACATTCCCTTCTTTTGACACTATGAAGTAACTCCCAGAAGACTAGAAGTACTCATCAGTTGCACCAACAGCCTGAGGACCGACAGCTTGCTATCTCATCAGCATGGGGCATGACACACTTCTTTTCCTATCTTCCTTGATATTACTTCTCAGCTGTGTTGTAGTAGAGCTTTTAAGTCTGCAGAGGGGTCACACGATTTAGGCAGAGGCTATGAATGGAAATATTACTTAATGTAATATAAGCATTAAAACACATCCTAGAAGTGCTTGCTGCAAGCATATGAATCAGTGGCACTGTGCATGGATTACACTGTATGTGCCAGAGCAGCCAAGAGCTATTCTGAATTTTCCAACAAAATCTTTTGGGCTGCTTCTACTAACTATCACGTTTTACAGGTCCTGATACCAATGAAGTAGCTCAACAATAGCTGAAAGCAACTGAACTGTGGAGAAGAGGTGTTATGGTTTAATTTTTCAAGGCTGACTAAGCCCTTTAACATTGCCAGAAAAATCACTGCTTCTAAGTGCTCCAAAGCCCTTCCCGCCAGCTCCCAGCGTAATGAAAAAAGCATAATGAAAACAGGCAGATAGCAGCATGCTGCTGCTGGAAGGGCTCACCCAGTCATTCCCTGCCCATACCCAAAGGCAAGAAAGAGAACAGACAGAGGTGAGATTTAGTCATCCAGACAAGACTGGGTTGTAAATTTAGCACTCCAGTTTTAGGCTACAGAGCTCATGATGGTACTGCAATGTAAATACAAAATAAGTAGAATTTTCCCTGATTTCGACTGTGACTCTGGGTATCACCCCTTTGCAGTGAATGAGGATGATAGGACAGAAGACCACAGAAAATCTGGCAGGATCACACAGACTTTTATTCACCAAATTTAAAAACTCTTAATGAGCTGTACATTCTGAAATGCGCAACAACATAAGCTACAAGCTTGAACAGAAGGATGAAATTGCATGTAGCATGTTCCACAACGCTCATTACAAGAGAACATTTGTGTATCCAACTGTTACAGCGAGGCAAAGTAAAACATGTTCTTACACCTAGTGGGATTAAAGATGAAAAAATTAAAGCTTTTTCTTTAGTAGCATTCCTCTGTGACCTTAGGTTTCCAGTTTCTTTATGGAAAGAGAAGATGATAAAAATGTGAGCTTGTCAAACTCGAAATGCAATTATCCACCTTGTGCAAGTTTTGCACTGGATCCACCTGCAACACTATTAAATGCTGACGCCTGCTTTCAGCTTTCCAAGGAAACTTGAAATATAAACTTTAATCAATATAATGCCTTTGATTAACATCCGGCTTATGTCGAGCTAAACTTAGAATGGTACAGTCAGAATCATTAAGGTTGGAAAAGGCCACTAAGATCATCTAGCCCAACCATCTGCCTACCACCAATACTACCCACAAAACCATGTTACTAAAAGTATCTCATCTACGCACTTCATGAAAGCCTCCAGGGACAGTGTCCCCATCACCTTCCTGGGCAGCCCGTTTCAGTGCCCAAGCACTCTTACCAAGAAGTTTTTCCTAATATCCAATCTGAATCTCCCTAGTGCAACTTGAGGCCATTATCTCTCATCCTATCAGTCTTACTTGAGAGAAAAGGCCAACCCCCACCTTGCCACAACCTCTTCTCAGGGAGTTGTCAGGAGTGATAAGGTCTTCCCTGAGCATCCTCTGTTTCAGACGAAATAATCCCATTTCCCTCAGGCTCTCCCCATAAGACTCGTGCTCCAGACTCTCCACAGCTTTGTTTCCCCTCTCTGGACATGCTCCAGAACCTTAATGTCTATTAGTGAGGGGCTCAAAAATGCACACAGTACTTGAGGTGCCACCTCACCGGAGCTTAGATGGCAGAATCCAGTCCAATCCATTTCATAAATGAGCATGATTTTATACCATTTTAACAAGAGGGCTTACATCTTGATTTTGGACAAACAGTGACACGGTGCTTATTTGCGCGTAGCTGAATGTTGGACTGACAACATCTCCTGCACCTAAATGAGAGAAAGCCATGTGTGGAAGCTCCAATTATGATCTTGTGATATTTCAACATTTCTTCCTGGGGGAAGAAGAGGAAAAAAACTAAAAAAAAAAAAAGAGAGAGAGAGAGAGAGAGAGAGAGAGAGAAAGGAAGGGAGAAAAAAAGAACCATCCAGGCACTGCCCTACAGGACACACCTGCCCACGGGCTGCCGCCCCACCCCATGCCCGGGGCCGCTTTGTCCCTCAGGCTCCGCCCCGGCCCCGCCCCGCCGCGCCGTGCCCGCCCCCGTCCGCCTCCTCCTCCTGGCGCGGCGCTGCCTGCGCGCTGCTGGCTGAGCTGCGCGGCTGTGCGCGGCGCGGAGTTTGCTTTGTGCCCGCGGTCGCGACAGGACGGCCCGCAGGTAGGAGGGCTCCGCCCGCTCCGTCCCTTCTCGTTCCGGGTTAGCATCTCTCTTCAGAGCTCGGCGGGATGTGAGGGAGGGGAAGGGTTAGGGTGAGACAAGGGATTTTTCTGTCGAGGTTCTGCTTTGCTGGAAAGCATTCCAGCCCAGGGGCGGACAAACGGCACGAAGTCTCGTTCCCGTTTCTTGGCCGGGAGGTGCACGTGGAAAATGCTGTGAGCGAGCCCTAGCATCTGGCGGCGGCTGCTCGCCGGGCCCCACGTCGCCGCCCTGAGCCGTCCTCGCCGGGCTTCGGGAGACCGAAAACCCGGCGGAGATCCCCTGGAGGGAATCCCGGCGTCTGCGGTACCGAAAGCGGCATCCCTTCCCAGTGAGAGGCGGCAGCCTGGCTGCCGGGAGAGCTGCCGCTTTGTACAGCTGAGAGTTTCGCTGTTTTCTGCCTTTTATGGTGGGAAAAGGTGGTCTCTCTCCAGACTTTGCCATTTGAACTTGTTTCATCATAGCAGGGAGATTGCATCATGTTACAGTCTTGGATTCAGTAAGGGCAAAGGCAAAATGAACCATCCTTCCAAATCTATCCCATTGGCTTCTCCATCTGACCCCCTCCTTTTTATTTCCTGTTTAACAGAAAGGTTAAAACTAAAAAGCAGCGTGTGATTGGTAGAAGGCTGCTCAGTTCACAGCGACGTATTTTGATTTCTTCCACTGAGAGGTTTTTTTTTGGAAACTCAATTTTAACTTGGTCTGTTCTCAGTGTGGATGTGTGCAGGGGGAATATAGGAAACTTAGCGAAGATAGAGACCGTAGGAAAACAATCGGTGGCAAAAGAGAGCTGAATAAGCAGCTAAACAGATGTTGCTTTACATATGAGGAGCCCTGGAGTCAGAAGAACTGAATGGATTCAGATGGGCACCCTCCAAAAGCATGGCATCCACATCCCCAGAATCACAGAGCAGATGAATGAGTGCCCGTGTCCCAAAGGCCGGGCAGGGTGGATGTCAGGAACTGAAGAGTGTTTAGCTGATGTCCCCTATGGATGCTATACCAGTACTTTGATTCACCTAACACTTGCAGTGTTTGTGCCTGTTTACATGTCAGACCTGTGTAAGGATTGATCTTTTCAGCTGAGGTCTGTCTGTAATGGGTCTCAAAGCAAGCAAGATCTGATTAAATGTTGTACAGCAATCTGGAGCTTCCTTGGCTTGCAGTTCTTTTGTTCTTTGTGCAGTTCTTTGTTTTGTGTCGGAGGTTGAACTGTCACAGCACAGCTCAGTTTGGTTCTCAGAGGCATTTATCCCAAGTGTGGTATCACCCTTACAGGTGCTCTCACTGTTTGCTCTGAGTGTTACAGGACCACCCATTTCCTGCAGGGAAATGGCATTTTTATGGAGGGCTGCTTCTCTGATTGCCCAGGAAGAGCTGAGATGGGGGTACAAGGGAGCAGCTTGGCAGCCAGATGGACCCATCCATCAACACACTCCTTTATGGGCACTCGGTGCCCTTCAGTCACCCTCATGCCTCCTGGTGGTCTCTATGGGAAGAGCTGCTCCATTACTTTTGAACAATTCCTTTTTCCTTTTGGTACTGAGGTGGAACCAGACCAAATTCTGCATTAGAGCTGGAGGGAGAGCAGTGCTGCCTTTCTGGGGCTGTAGGGCACCAGATGGGCTCAGAAGAATTTGATATGGATTCTGAAAAAAAAGCATCCTCAGTTTTCTTTGTGTGTCTGAACACGCTGTGATCACGGTGACAAGGCTGCTCACAGAACAATGAGCAGACATCTCCTGCCTTCGGCGAAGTGCAGAACCGCTCGGTGTTTCCCAGGAAATATGCCAGCAAAATTCCAAGTGTTGCATTCTGTTCCTGGCTCGCAGGTGGATCTGTAGATACAAGGATTGGAAAGGTCTCTGGGGTCGTAATTTCATACACATGTGACTAATTGTGGTGTTCCTTTCAACGGTGCAAAAGGAACCTGCAGTAAGGTCAAAGCAGGGATTGTCTTGCCCAGCTGCTCACTGCAGACTTCCCCGAGACATTGCCTGGGGACAAAGAGCCGGTGTTTCCAGGCTGCTTTGTGCAATCTGGAGTCAGCCAATTTAATTTCCGCCCATTTTCAAAAGTTTCATATCTGATACCCCTGTCAATGAGAGCCCTGTTAATGGGGGCCTGCTTGGTTAAGTGCTTTGTTCAAGGCTGGGCTCTTTGTGTGGTGTGGATGGGACGAGGAGGAAGAATGGATGTGCTCTGTATTCATTTGCAATAGATCTCTGTCATGCATGTGGCATGCAAGGACTTTGTGTCCAAACTCATATACAGTTAATTCTGTATTATGGTGGTTTTACTTATTATTGTGGTATCAACTCTTGAAAAAATCATTCATCCCTTTCAGTTACACTGTTGAGCTATCTTTACATTTGCTCATGGCATAAAACATGAGTGGTATGAGTAGTGAGATTTGGCTGTTCAAGCTCCTGGGTACCCTTAACAGAACACTGCCACTATGACCTAACAGTGATCATATCCCTCTTAGAGCATCCCTAGGAGAGTACAATGAGCAAAGGATGAATCAACATCTGTTCTGTTTTTTAACACTATCAAGAAATCTGGGAATGAAATTCTTAAGAGGATGTTTTATAGGTTGGTTTTTGTATAGATGTAGTGGTATCTTAAAAGTCAGTGTTGTGTGCTTGCCAATAAAGTAACCAGAACAACATAGGATAGTTCCTATACAGACTTTTCCTAAACTGGAAGAGAAATAAACATTAAAAAAATCTCTGCATTATTCTTCTTGTGGTGACAGTGGTGGATGGGTTTTCTTTTTTAGTAACTGGGGTTTTCTGATGCCAGCATCTCTCTGCCCATATTTTTGAGCTGAATGCTAATAGCTGTCTCTTTGGAGGACAGTTGTTGGTTATGTCTCTATTGAGCCAAAATCTTGACAAAATGCTGACTAAGTATGTAGCCTTCCATTAATAAGTGCCAGAAAAATGTGCTCAAGTGATTTCAGATTCAGTCTGCAATCTAGCTGATTATCTGTCTCAAAGATAACAGGTTTTTACCCCCATGAAGCACAGCACTTTGTGTATGCGAAGTAATTGCCGTGAGTTGGACTGAATATATATTATTCATTAGGGGACTGTCATCATATCATGTTTGTGAAATCCCCAAAGTCTCTTATCACTTTCCTAACCACTTCCAAACGCTTATGGAAAACAAGATCTTGGTGTCCTTCTGCATCACTGGCTGATGTTCTGTCTCACTGAATTCAGTCTGTGCTGGTAGCCACTTTCAGTGAGCATGTTTGCTTAGTTCATCTAAAATAAAGAGACTTTGGGAAAGTGGCTTAATTCTTGGATTCACGTTATCGGGGACAGCACTCTTACACAGAGAACATGTACTGTTATCTCAGTTCTGCAGAGAAGCAAATAGCAAAAGCTCTTTAATATGCTTCTTTCATGCTCAACCACTGTTATAAACTGCCCTCCAGTGTATGAAGGCTCAATATTTGGTTGCTGTGGGTGGATCTTTTTTCTTCATTCAAGTGTTTAAGTATCTTTTTCAAACTTACCTGCTCCCTCATTGGATGTGCATGCTTTTGGCATTGCTGCTGTCCAAACATGGAGCAGAAGATAAGGGAAGGCAAGGAAGGAATTCCTCCATTATTAGCAATGAGCAGGTCCAGATTTTATTTTGCTTCAGTGTTTCTTCCCAGGAGCAGCTGCAAATAGAGAACACAGTGTGACCTTCGCTGCAGCTCCTAGTGCAGCCATCAATCAGGTCTGGCAGGGGCTTTATTGCGTCTGTCAGAGGTGCTCGTAAGCCACATGCTGTCTGGTTTGGGGAGGGGGTGGGAACAAACAAACAAAGGGAACTACTGTTGGTTTTGCTTGAAATAAAATAAATGTGAGTGAGCTTTTCCCGTGTATGCCAGCTTTGGAGACGGATTTCAATTTTTACTATGAGTCATTGGTCTGATTAATAAAATGGGATCAGCAGTTGTCCCATGCCTCGGCGTCCCTAGCAAACCATTCACAAACTAATGTATCCTCACCTGCAGTCAGTGCTCTCTGGTTAATCTTAGGTGATAATTTTACCAAGGAGTTGATACAGTTAAATTATTTTAGGTAGTTTGTTGCACACGGATGTTAGCAAAGGTTGGATATTAGGAAAAATTTCTTCTCAGAAAGAGTGTTGAGGTGTTTGGAACAGGCTGTTAATGCACGTGGTGAGTCACTGTCCCGGGAGGTTTTCAAGGAATGGGTGGATGTAGCACAGAGGGACATGGGCTAGGTGGTCATAGGCATGGCTCGATGGTTGGACTCGAGGATGTTAGTGGTTTTTTCAACCTTAGCAGTTCTGTTAAGGAAAGGATTTTCAGACTTGTCTGAATCTTCGAGGAAAATAAGGCAGCTCTGTCAGATAGAACAGTTCTGGGGTTTTGTGGGAACATGTGCCTTCCCAGCCTTTTCTAGGCTTGCATTTGGAGGCAAGTTCACAGTGAGCAAGCCCAGCTGATGAGCTCAGCTGATGATTGCATCCCACTTTTAAGCATGCAAAACATTATTCTCACCGTGTAAGTGCTTTGTATGTTTGCTTTGAGTTCATTTGTTATTGTTTTTTTTTCCCTACCAGCGTTGATCTGCTTTTAGAATTCTACTGGAGTTCAAAACAATTTACGTTCTTAGATTTTTTTTTTTTTCACCGCTACAACAAATCCGTGCCTTTTTCAAATTCCTCTGCTGTCTTTCTCATGCCAGATCTGGAAGTGCAACTTTCTTGCCTTTTTTTCTGAGGGCTCACTCAGCACAGTGTGGCAGTCTGTCACTTCATGCTTTGCTGCCAGTTAAATGAGAGGTCAGAAGCAATGGGACAGGCAGCAGTGCTGGTGTGTGGCCCTATCTTCTCTTGTGGGCTTGTGTTTGTGTATATACAGATGGATGTACATGGATTTTAAGAGAATGTGTATAGGTACAGGTGATATGTATTATAGCTGACATTAT